ATGGCTCTCGCTCACCGGTTTGCAGGCAAACTGGAACAATGCTTGTGACTTGAAAAAAAAATATCTGTGGTCGATGGCAAAAACCTTCACTGCAACACTCGTGCTATTTAACCATGCATAGAGCCTCCGTACTAGAGGAACAAAAGGCACGGATGAGCAAAGCTTCCTAGCAGGCCGCCACTCTTCCTGGATGCCATGCAGACATGCAGATGTGACTTAGCCTTCCAAAAAAAGCGCTGCCAAACAATGCTACTTAGACAGTCGAGAGCTGCAACAATGCCGACCTTATTTTGCTTTCGCTGGAACCTCGTCAGCCTTCGTGCCGCGAAAACTGTGCTGAGATCTAGGAGCCATGCTCAGTGATGATACCGGCATCTATCTTGGATGCAACCTCTGCCATGGCAGCTCTGGCCTTCTTCTTCGCAGTCTGCGGGGAGTCGCCCAACCTGAGCCTCAGTGTGTGCTCCTTATGGTAGACAGCGGAGGTCTTTCGTTTCTTGAACCTGCACTTGTAAGCGCCCTTCGCGGGCTTCGAAGCACTGGCGGGCTTCGAAACATCGGCGGGCTTCGAAGCACTCGCGGCCTTCGAAGCACTCTCGTGCTTCTTCTTACTGTTGCCCACGGCCGCTGCCGGCTTCTTGAAAGACTTCTTGTTGTTCACCACTCTGTGGAGGTTCGCCTGCTTCATGATGTCCAGATCTCCAGCATCCAAGCCATACGAGGCAGCTTCTGACACCAAAGGCTTCACCAGAGCCTCTGCCTTTGGGGCCACCTTCTTGACCGGCCTGCTAGAACTGGAGGCAGCTTGTGAAGCACCTTCCTCGCTGGAGCTGCTTCCCAAATCTCCAACCATCAAAGGCCTCCCGAACACCGTGGGGTCCTCAGCCGCCCTCGCAGAAGCTTTCGGACTGCAGATCTTCGCGGCTCCCCTCCAAATCTTGACGGGACTTCCAGGCCCCATCACCAGGCTAGCTTTCTTCAAGGGCCGTGGGCTGCTATCCTGCTTCGCCAAGATTCTTCCAAAAATGCCCTCGCTCCGCATCTCTGGAGGTCTATAAGGAACTATCTCCAGACCAGTCGCTTGGCCGCTGGAGCTTGCCCCAACCGTGTTCTCCTTCTCGGAGAACACATGAGACAACACCATGTCGATCCTTGCCTTTTCCGACTCCGTGGCTGTCCGTACTGCTCTCACGTACTCGTCCTGCTTCTTCAAACACCGGACTTGGCTTAGCAGGATGCGAATTCTGCTGTCGATCTGGTCCACGAAATCATCTGTAGCATAGTTCGTGCGGTTCACTTTCTTGGTTTTCTCCGTACCATCAACCACCAACCGCTTCAAACTCGTGCGAAGCTTCGCCGCAGGCAGAACGCAGTTCGGGGCTACCTGGAGGAAATCTACGAGGAGATAGGCTGCCTGAGCGATCCACGGAATACATACCGCCGTCTTCCAAGAGAAGGGAGCACCGGTGGGATGCTTCAGAATATTCCAAATATCCTTGTCTTGGGCATTGTCCACATGCTTCTTCAAAACCTTTTGCAGATCAATGACGCCTATCGTCGGATCCACTTTCACTCGGGTGGTTTCATACTTTGACTGCGCCATGCTGCAGCAGGGCTCTAGAAAATCTCTACATAGACATGAGTCGCATGAGTTTCAAGCCCACATGTGCCCACACAGTTTTCCTATTGTCTGCTCGCAAGATTTTCCTCTGGCACCATGCCATACCTGTGCTTCTTGCTATGTTTTCAGCCTGCAATCCGCAACGGAACAACATTCAAGTCTGCCATGCTGCACACAAATCATAAAAACCTGACAGGGGACATGCTACTTAGCTGTCGCAAATGTTACTTAGGTCTTGCAAAACATGCCAGCAATCCTGCACATGTTACCTAGGTTCTGGAAAAAAAAAAGAGTTCCGCACAACAAATGCTACTTAGGGTGCCTGCTCCTGCTAACAAAAAACAAAATATCATAGTTTATTCTTTCAAATAACCTTTGGAACTCATAGTCTATTCTTTCAAATAACCTTTTCTCTTAGGTTATTTAAATAACCTATCTCCTGAGATATAGGTTATTGTATTCTGACTATTAGTCTATTTTTTGGGATATGGATAATAGTCAGGAAATAACCTAACCGAATCTAAGAGGCTCAGAAGTAGCCAAAGCTGCTCAAGTCTGAACGCCGCCCTGAAACCATCAACGATGAACCCGAAAGTTTGAGTAAGCCTCGGGGACAGACCCAAAACATCAGAGGAGGCTTCGAGGACCACAGGAAATATGGGGCCAACCGTGTAAGATTGCTGCAGACTGACCCTAAATCCTGAAGTTATAATTGCAGTCAAGAGTTTCCAAAAGAGCGCCAGGAGAGGAAGGTCTATAGATACTTATGTTAAAGGTCTTGCGGATTAGGTATGCCTGAGTTAGAAACGCTTACGTTAATAGGGATGCAGGCGCTAGAGCTTGACCAGTCTTTGGGGGTTTGGATTCGGAAAAGCGGCAGGGATACCTGCACAAACCGCCGTTGGACTTGTGAGCATAGAAACCGTTGACCTATGTAGATTAATATAGTACCTGTTGAAAAGATGCGAACTGTGCCAAGCAGCCACGAAAATTCGTCCTCGTGCGAGACCCCTTGCAGGGCATGGGGCCAGGGGCCAACAAATCGGTGGAAAAGGAAAGGGGCTTTGGGCGGGGATGTCATTTATACGTGATACAACTACAAGTGCGTGAAGGGGCCGTCAGGCATAAACCATACTATTGTCGATTGAATTGTCCAGGCTATTTATGTTGCCCCGATTCCTGACTCGAAACCTACCTGTAGTCTCCATGGTAGTTCCTTTTTTTGGTTTAACCAATTATATAATTCGGATCCTATAAGGTAACCCCCAAAAGGAACTACAATGGAGACTATAGGTAAGGAAGGGCTGGGGACTCCAGAAAAAAGGATCGCATTGCTATCTAGAATGCCAACTCTCAACCCGCTAGAAGATAGCTGGACCCCCAAAGGACTATGACCACACCGTAAGCCACTATCACGAACCAGCAACTGGGCTCCTCTGTGGATGACTCCGGGGTACTTCTAAGAGACTTATTATACAAGTTAGCATCACCTGAACACAACTCCTAAACCCCGAAACCTTGAGCCCTTCAACCTTAGTCCTTTGAATCCTTCGTGGGTCTCAGAAGCCAAAGTTTTCAACTTTAGGTTACCGGAACCCGTAGGATCCCAAACCTCCAAGCTTTTCAACTCCAAGCTCTGCAAGTACTGCACAAATCCCCACCCCCCAACCCTCTAACACTCAAAGTAAATACGAGTTTTGCAGAAGGAGGCCTGCCCACCGTGCGGCAGGATACCAGGGCAGCGGCCATCGTTGGCGAAGGTTTGTATGGGGTCTAGAGGATTTCAGTCGGGGTTGGGGCTTTTCTGGTTTAGGGTAGGGTCCAAGCTTGAACTAGGGTTTGTAAGGATTTGCGACTTCATCAGTGTTTCGGTTGTGAGTTTTGGGGCTTCGTGTCTAAACCTAAGTCCTAAGCGTATCGTTGTGGTTTAGGCTCAGGGGTTAGTTTGATGACACTCAGCACTCACAAGCATGTAGACGCTGTCGGGAGGGAGTGTTTCTTGGTCTTGGGCTCCCAATCGGGTCCTTGGCTTGCGGGGTGTTGGGTGGGCTTACCTTCTTTGTGCTTGGCTGCTCTTGTAATCTCTTGTAGGCCCGTCGTAAACCACAGCGGTCCAGCTGAAAGCAGACATGGTTCTCAAGAACCCCAACCAAACTTGAAAGGATAGGCTGACCTAAACTCCTGAAGAACCCCAAACTTGAGCGATAAACCGTGTAGACAGGAGGCCTGGCGGCTTAGGCTTTTTGGGTTGGGTGCTGAAGGGTGATGCTGTCAAGTTTCAGAGATCCGTGAGTAGACACGTCAAAGAAGCCAGAAGCAAAACACAGAATTAAAAGTCAACTTCGGTGTGCTCTTTGCTTTGGGAAGTTTTTTTGGGGGGTGCAGGGATTGCGGAGTCGGGATTTGTAAAGTTGATCGCTTCGGAAAGAGTGGCTTCGAGCTGAAGTATTAAACGGTTCTGGAAGGCTTAAAGGGTCTAGATTCTCTGAAGGATTTACGTTTTTAGGTATTAGGGGTTTGCGAATGTAAGATTCCGCGTTTCAGGTGTTAGGGTCTAGCGGTTGAGTGCAGTTTCGGGCCATGGTCAAATTCAGGATCGCATGTGCCAGTCTTCCCAGGCCACATGCCTTAGAATACTCATGAACTCTTCATGATCCTAACTGCAACTATAATATATTACTCGTTTCACTGAATGTCACCTGGTACTTACTACGATATAATGCTGAAAACTATAGGCCAGTGGATTCAGAAGTACCGGAATTGCCATTCCGGCCTTTGTGTGTTTAACCGAATGCATAGAGAGGTCCCTATAAGGTAGCTCAAGACATGAAATACAGAGGAGCCAATAAGCTCTGTGCCAGGTCTCTAGAACTCTTCGCGTGAATTTGGCACAAGCGAACAAGAAGAAGACACCCCATAAGTTCTAGAAGGTAGATCCTGTAACTGTTCCTACAAAGTACCTTTGAGCTTAAGTCAGGGGCCTGTTACGTTCTGGAAACTTACACCTGACCCAAGAAGACCAGGGTCTCTTTTGCCGTCTACAGGGTCTCGGATATATGATCATATATGCCTTAGGCGTTCAGAGATGAAGTCATTTTGCCATAGTAGGCATCTGAGTACAGTAAGCAATAGGGGTTCCTTCGAGTTTGAAATGGGGACCTAAATTGGCTTCCTTTAACAAGAACCAAGTAGCGTGTAGGGTTAGGGCTCAGGTTAGGGTTGAGGGTCTAGCGCTGAGGTATTAGCCAGAGCCCTGTTGGGACTTCCGTAGAATAACTGCCCGAAGCTACCAAACCGACGCAACTCACTAACCCGCTCCCGAACCCTGAACCTTATAAACCCTATAAACCCTAAACCCTCAACCCTAAACCGACCCGACCTGTTGTCCAATCTCTTTCACCAGAGGAGGAGACCAGCCGAATGGGCCTCAGAGTTGAAGCGGCAAATGACCTTAAAGGAACCCCTTAAAGCTGCCCTCAGAGGAGTTCAGGAGAGGCCGAAAGCTTCCGTGTGTTTCAAGGGGTTTTGGGTGGTTTGGATTTCAAGGTTAAGTTGTATGGGGTTTCGCGGAGCGTTTTAAGGCTTCGAGTTTATGGAAGAGCCCTGCTATAAAAGCTGGAAAGGATACCCTACAACTGCTTGTTGTGCGGTAGCCTCTTCGAGGGGTTCGACTGTATGAATTCAGTAATTACATGCAAAAACCATTGTTTTGCAAGTGGAAGAAGTGATTGGGGTTAGGTTTAGGAAAGGGCTCCGTTTAGGGATTTGAAAACGGAACCACCCCATGCTGTTGATGGGCGAGCTGCTGGTCCATCTGCAGTACGATACATTAACGGCGTCATACTGCGAATCGGCTTTGGGAGTATACTGTAGCACGAAGTTGTATGAAGCAACCCCAAGAAATAATACCGTTAGTATTGAGGCTTCTATATATATATATACACACACATCAATTCTTGCGTTTTTTGAAGGCGTCGGTGTCCGAGCAAGAAAGAAAGACATTCATTTGTACAGGGGTGAAAGGGCCAGCAGGAGCCCATAGAACAAACCAACCATGCACGTCCTATGGCCTGGGTTGGAGAGTTAATTAAGAGGGTTTTGTTAAGTGTTTCACCATTTTGATGCCCCACATTCACAATTTCCCTTGCAGGAGCCCTTGAAAAGAACAAGAGCAGCGAACGCCTACACCCTAAACCGTGACACCTAAACCGAACACCCTGAGCCCACCGCTCCGGTGTCCAGGCTTCTACTCTCTGGATTTCCTCGCAGCGCCGATCGGCCTCCCACGTAGGAAGTTAGGGGCTTCGCGCCTGTACAAAGGATGAGTTAACGGTTTTAGAACGGGGCGTTTTGAACTCGAGGGGATTTAAGGCTCCGGGGTTTGGGGAACCTGGAAACCAAGAAGCTGGAAGGTAGCGTCTGGGGGTTCAGCGTTCTGATCGTTTTGGATAGTAGTTCTGGCGGCTAAGCTCAGGGATCAGGTTTTGGCTTTCACTGGGCTGTCGGGTTTTGATGTCTTTAGGCTTATCGTAACTCCTTTGGGTCTAGATTTGTATAAGGTTTTGAAGTTGAGGTTTTCGTTCGAGTTGAGGGCAATGGTGTTTGGCAGTCAAGCTTTAGAAGGGAATGCATCAGAACATTATAGCCCAGACGCAAGTTTAGTTGATGCTACAGGATTTATAATGTGGCGTTTACTCTTCGCCTCAGTCCTTCAAACGACATTACAGTCTTTGCGGCAGCAACGGATGGCATGTCGAGAGCCTCGCTCTCCACGTCTATAATGCAGTGGTTGCGCCCCAGAATTCTGAATACGGGCCCATGAGGCTCAACATCGACGAGAACGGTGAGCTCGTCCCAGAAAGCTTGGTGTTCTGCTTCTGGCCCTGACAACGTCAGGTTGTCGTCGTATGTCGACATCAACAGCTCGCGATTTGGAAGCCATTAGTTTCCGGGAAACTCTGGAATCTCCTTGCCCCCAAGGGCGTTTAATGATGCGTGCTAAGTGCTGTTCCCAAAAACCCCCAGGATCGGGGTGACCATCAGCGGTCGTGGTAGTGTGCATTAGCGTGCCCCTGAAGGGTGCCGTACGCCTTTAGGCTTCCAGCGTGTGTAAGCTTGGGTTCGGAGCTCGACTTCTTCCTCTCGAAAGCACCCACCCCCAAGACTCCAAACATGCAAGTACTGCAGATCCGGATGAACAAAAGGCCTTAACACTACGATCTCGACTACCGGCCCCCAGCAGGGGATCGAAGTTTCGTCCGTAAATTAAAGTTTACATTTAGTTCATTCTTTCCCAGACGCTCCCACATCCCCTAGTTAAGGAATACATATACTCCTAATTAAGGTTCCATTCTACTGTGCAATTGAACGATTTTGCAGTCTGCGGGTTGGCTTCTGAATACTGTCGGCTACTGGAAGCTCGTAGAGCTGTACATGAAACCGACCAAACAAAGCACCAAAACCGGGAACCCTGTTTGGGAGCTTCCCAGAATTAGGGGTACCTGCTTTTGGGGCATTTATAATAAGGTTCCTACTATTCAGTGATACTCTGTTTAAGGTTCCCTCTTTTCGGAAACTCTCATTTAAACCCTAAACCCCACGCAGAGCAGTAACTGTGCGCTAGGGGTCCTCGGTATCTTTCTTGGGCGGGTCACGAATCTCTTGGGGTGAGTTTTCTTGGCTGTACCCATAGGCCCCAAAGTAGTTCCTTTTTGGGACTCCCTTATAGTATTCTGTATATGAACCCCAAAAAGGAACTACTTTGGGGCCTATGGGTACTTTGCATTCTCAGAGAACCCAAAGTATCAGGATCTAGGCTGCGGGGTTTTAGACCTCAGAGTTTATTTGTATTTCTTGGGGCAGGGTATGTGAGGGTCACGCTTGGATGTGGCGGGGGCTGAGCCCAACAAAAATCCTAATCCTCGTACGCGAATCAGAAGCCCGAAACCAACCACTCCGAGTTCGTGGCACTTTTGAGGGTCTCGCACCTAGGGGAGACCCCCAAGCTTGTAGTCTAGCTCTTCAGGCTTCTATGTCAAGCCCACACAATTGGAGCAAACGTCCTAAGCCTAATAATGGGCGAGCCCAAGGAAATCATTTGTGCATTCCAGGGTGGCAGAGAGGCAACTATCTAAAACATAGGGCTTGACGGTTTAGAGCAGCTTAGGGCTGTAAAATTTCGAGCGCTGGGATTTGGGTTTAGAGCTTAGGGGTTTACGGGTGGTTCAGGTTTGAAATCCAACAGATCGTCAAGCGTAACCCAGCAGAAGAAACAGATACCTGATTTCATGCCATCATGCTCGAGACGATCAAGAAAGCAGAAGCTGCAACAGGGTACTCTGCACTTCCCTGCCTCCACGTTCAATCCTTCCAGACTGCCGACTTTAGTACGGACCTCCATCGCGAATCCCGACAAGGCCTGCGGGCTCAGGTCCTCATTGACATCGGGCACGCAAATCAAGGTCGCATCTAAGCCGGTCCCTGCGGGATCAATTGGAAATATCTGCCGACGCGCCGAGCCGTGAACCCCTGTTCCGCTGCAGCTGAGGCTGTGGTCTTCACCCTCAAACTGTCCAAGAGCGATAATTGACCATGCGGGAGGCTTCAGTGAAGCTGGCTGCTGCCTCGTTCTTCACGGCGGAAATTCTTTAAGTAAAGGCGATCAAGTGCTTGCCCACGAAGTGCGTCGACTTGATCGATCCGCTTTTTCCCTGGCAGGAGGGGGGGGGTACGTTGTAGCAAACCACTAACAGCAACATGCTTGCTGTCTAACTCCCATCATACAGAGGTTTATTCATGCTCAGGGTCTTGAAGCATTTAGCATTGTACCTTGCCTGTAAAACCCAGAGACTCAATAGTTTAGGGACTATCTGCGCGTGAAGCGCGTCCACAGAAGCTGCGTAGGGTTTGAGGTTGCAGGTATGGGCATGGGATTCAACCTAAACATACCTAAACCCTAAACCCTAAACACCTATAAAACCCTGAACCCTCAACCCATATAAAACCCCTAAACCCTAAACCCTTAAAGCCCTACACCCTAAACCGGCCCGACCCCTTTCGTGCCTCCGGAGCCTTGTGAAGCCGTTCGCTCCTACAGCTGCTGTTGGGCTTTCCCTAGTGCAGCAGTAGCCTGAATAATTAGTAGGTTACATATATATATATATATATATATATATATATGTATGTGTGTGTGTGTACATCCCACCGCGCATGCTGCGTTGGGCTTTTCTTCGACCGCATCCAGAACCTACAGAATGCCAGGTACCTATAGTCTCCATTGTAGTTCCTTTTTTGGTTAACCAATATTATGGTTAGGATCCTATAATTTAGAGTTTTTGGCTAACCCAAAAAGGAACTACAATGGAGACTATAGGTAGATCGCAAGACTAGGACCTGAATACGAGACCCAAGAAGCTTCAAGCCCAAAAGCCCTTCAGCCCTAAATCCCCAGAGCCCCGTCGAAACTCGAAAATCCTAAAACAGCTTCGGCGCATGGGTTCTGGGCTCGAGAGTCAGATCAAGGCTTGAGGTTTTAGCAGAAATGATGCAGTTTTTGAGGTTGAGGGCTTTCGGGTTTAGGGCTGAGTTTAGTGTCGAGGGTTTGGCCTTCTCTCTAACATGAGCGACTTACTGTTTTGAAGGGTTTGAAGGGAAACAACTCTGGACCCCGGGTTTGAGGCTTATACGTTCTAACAGGTAACCGAAGCATTCTGGCCTGATCATCTGTTTCCGGCCACTTCGCTCCACCATGATGGCCTCCATCTCAAGTTCATGGGTTGTTTCAAGTAGTGCTACATGGGAGTTTCCGAAAGTAGGGGACCCCCTGCATATGGTACCCTAAATAGTAGGATCCTTATGCAGTTATAATAAGGATCCCAGAATAAGGTCCCCTCATTTTCGGAAACTCACATATAGCTTCGCTGCCCTCCTCGTTCTTACCAAGTTCCCCTGGCCTCGTATGCAAAAGTCGAGATGTGCGGCATTTCAGGAGAGACTTTACAGGTGGAGTCTGGAAAAGACTATTCTGGGCCGGGCTTCAGTCAGAATTCTCCCCCGCCAGCCTGGCATAGATCCATAGCCTCCCTCTCAGAATAGGGATTGTGCAGCAGGAATCCTAATGCCAGGAGATTTGTTGACCAGGGGTCTAAATCCTACACTCTGATAAACCCTCAAAGGCTACACACCCTAGAGGCAAGTCTCTCTTGAGTGGGTACCCAGATCCTTTGGAAACCTTTACGGCATTCTAAGGCATGACAGTGTGTAGTGTATAAGCTGAACCCACGAAACTCTATAAACCCCAAACCCATGCGACAAATCCATCAAAACTGATACATCTGAAAGAAATGCTGAGGGCCTAAGGGTTTCGTCCTCCACATGTCCGCAATCGTCCAGGGGCTGCCGCATGTTGTAGAGGGCGTTACATCCTCATGACCACGGCACCTTCGTCCGCGCTGTGTCTTCCCAAGACGGCAGCTCTCCGCGCCAAGAAGGGCCTGGCCTTGAGAACGGGACACCCTGAAGGTCGTCGATATCTGTCCTAAACCCGTCTTCGCACGATGAAGTGGTGGGACTAAAGCCAAACAGGCTTATGTTTTCCTAAACGGTAGATGCACGTGCGGGCTGTGTCCTTGCATGTCTAGCAGCTCAGCGATTGTGATGCCAAATGTGTTGCATGTATCGTGCGTTCTAAACCCCCTAAACCGCAATACACGTACAGAGACCCCCTTAAGGGGCTGTGTTTGCTTGCCCCCCAATAGATCTTCGAAGTTTGGTAGGAAATCATGTGCCCCCAAAAAAGACTGACTAACGGTCACCTACAGAGCCCCTAATTCAGCCCTTAACCTACAACTGACATCAACTTACCGCAGCCCCGAACCTATACTGAACTTAGACCCCTAGCAAAAATGATAAATTTAGCTGTTTCTTAGGGATTATAAACTATAATAACCAAAAATGAAGAACTATTTCTAAGTACCCCTAAGAAACCCTGAACCCAGATTTAGTGGCTGCCTCGAGGCTATGCATCTTGCTGCGAGGCTTGGCCTGCAAATCGCTGACCGGCTCTCCCGGATGCTGATATAGGTGGGTGGTTGTCAAAATTAGAGTCCCTTTTCTAAACCCTAAACCCTAAACCCTTTTGGGGTACCCTAAATAAGAGGTGCCGTACTATAATAGGAACCTTTTGTCTCCATTGTGGTTCCTTTTTTTGGTTAACCAAAAACTCGATTAGGGGATCCTAACCATAGTCTCCATTGTGGTTCCCTTTTTTTGGTTAACCAATATTATGGTTAGGATCCTCTAATATAGTTTTTGGTTAAACAAAACAATGGAGACTATAGGCAAGTCTGCATAGGATTAGGGTTTAGGGGGTGTAGGGTTTAGGATGCTAAGGACGGGGTTCTTTCACCAGGATTCTTCGGGGGTATAATAGGATAGCATTGCGAGGCGTCAATCATTAGAACAAGGTTTGGGGAGGCATGGCAATACGGGGCCAGCAGAGGAGCACCATTCTAAAGTCTTCAGAACCTATCTTTTATAGCTCGCTGTATAGCTTTTGCTTTCGGTCATCTGAGTTTTGGGGTGTCCCAAAGGGAAATTGAGCTGCAATGCCTGGTCGCTCCTTGTTTGAACCATGCTTGATCTCGCGCTTCCTCATCTTGGAGCTCAAACGGCCAGAACCGACACTGAACATGCGTTGAGCGAACCTTCAGCCGGTGCTTCTTACGGCACACAGCTGCTGTTCAAATCCTTACTCATATATTGGGAGGGACCCGTGGATTGTGACAACTTGAGCTAATGGGACATCGCTGATGGAGCTCGCATTTTTGGAGATTTAATCAAACCCGCTTGGCCCAACCAAAGCACCGAGGTAATGCTGGCATGAGACAGCAACACCAATGAGCACATATCTTGTTCATGACATAGGTGCGACTCTCTAATGCATGTCAGTGTGAGTGTCGCTGTCAATTTGTAACTCTGGCTCAAACGGCGGGGCAACTGTACTTGTGGTCGTGAGTATCTCAACAAGAGTAAACTTCGGAATAAATATGAAAAATCCTGTGGGAAGCTGCTTACTACGTGTGTTGAGCCTTCAACTGTGACGGTTACCAGTACGAGAGCCATGACCATGGCTAGTCATGTTGTCATTCACTCTGGGTAATGTAGGAACCTGATTAAGAAACCCTGCCCCAACATAGTAGGGTTCATATGTTGGCCCAAGGTTTCTAAACCAGGTTCCTACATTACAATGGTTGGGCTGTTAATCACACTGCCAAGTCTCTGCGATATCAAACACAGGTGTTCTAAAGACTTCGCCAGTAGGGATTTAGGGTTTAGGGGTTTCGGGTGTAGGGGTTTGGGGGTTTAGGGTCAGCTCTAGTCACTGTCTCTTTGTTGCCACTGCTGTTGGTATCATTGTCGGCTCTGCTGCTGTTATCAAATACAGTTATCATCAGCTGCTAGAGTCTCGCAAGCAGAACCTGACCAAAACACCGCCAAAACGAAAGTACCCGCAACCGCAAATGAGACTGCTCCGGGTCCTGTGTTGTATGGGCGGCTGTTCCACGAATTAACACCCTGAGAAACAGGATCTAAGCCGGATGATATCAAGGATTACGGAAGCCCGAATCCCCCACCCCTAAAAACAATGAACCCATGGGTCCCTCTTTAAGGCCTTCCCGCTCCGGGCGACGGGGGCTCCAGAAGGGGCTTCAAGTAAAGCTCCCGAAGTAAAAGAAAGAACTGATGATCGCTGCTTTGTGGCCAGGGATTTCACTTCCCTTGCTTGCAGGCTTGTTTTTTCGCTTGTGGGCTGGCATACGAGTTTCCATCTTCATGTCATTTACGAGTGACCACCAACCTTGTGGCAGCTATTGTAAACAGTATGCAGGATGGAATGCTCAAGAATGTATCGAGTAGGCCGCCCGCCCTCATCAGACATCACAAGATAACATGGTGCTGCTGATGTCCCGGCCATCACATTTGATAACATGCAGTGGGCAGTAGCAGCAGCACTGATGATGCCAAATTCTGCTCTCCCTAAACCCTAAACCCTGCTTCCTCGTTCAAGACAGTCCAAGACGCCGCTTTCTGGATCCAGCCGGGCGGCCACGGCCTTCGCAGCCATTCGCACAAAGCTGTCGTCTGTGAGGTTCTTCTGTAGCTTCTGGAGCTCCTGAAGTATGAGGTTCCTTTTTGTAATTATAGTATAACATACCCCAAAACTCTATTCTGAGTATTATATAAGTCCTGAAGCATGAGGTTCCCTAATATACAGGCCTTAGTAATTAGAAGAGGGTTTTGGGGGCCGATTGTACAGAACCACAATAAGGAACCGCCAAAATAGTATTGGTAATTAGTTATTGCCCCTATATTTCAGCGTTTGTGCGCTTAGGACGGTGAGCGCTTAGGCCAGCGGCTCCTCACTGTAACGATCCGCAGCTTCCAGCACTTGTGGCGTTGTGTGCGGCATCGTATAGAAATCGGCCGCATCCACGAATGGACCTATGAAGCCACCGTTCCAGAACGCTTGCATGCAAGCTTTCCTGGGCTCTAGCTCTTGGACTGGGGCTTAATTATCTTAAGTAAACGGGGGGCACCTCCTTTACTATAGATACATACATACATACGGTATACGGATATACGTATGTAACATATGTAATTACATACACATAGACCCTATAAGGCAACATTGGTAGACTCCTATCGCAACCATATGGGTGGTTGTCAAAATTATGGTCCCTTTCTCTGTCCCTAATATAGTACGGCACCTAATATTTAGGGTACCCAAAAGCGGACCATACTTTTGAGAACCACATTATATGAAAGGAACACGGCCGAAAATCACGGTGGGCTGGCCTTGATCTGCCTTTGACGCCGTCAAGTTTAGAGACCTGAGGTCCTGGAATGCACGGTTTTTTTTGCTTTTTATGGGCCCTTTTCGAACTGCAAAACAGGTAGAATTCCTATGCAAGATTTAGCGTTTAGGGTTTGTAGATTTTTGGTTTGTGGTTTGGGGATTAGGGTCAGGATTCCGGGTTTGAGGGGTAGGGCTTGTAAGGGTAGAGGGTTTAGGCTGACGGGATTTGGTGCATCAGGGCTTCTTTCAGGGATGTCTGTTGGAGAGGTCAGTCGTAACGAGCAAGTGGATCGTTTAGGGTACCTCCTCGTAGAGGTTCGGTTATCTGACTTAAGGTTCCTGAATCCCTAAACCCTAAACCCCAAACCCCAAACCCTAATCCCTAAACCCTAAACCCCAAATCGTTACAAGGCCACCCTGTCCTCCAACATTTCGGAAAGCCTTCGTTTCTCGGCTCATGTGTTAGGGCTGAGGGTTTGGGAGTCTGGGGTCAGGGGTCGGCATTTGGGGCTTTGGGTTCAGGTGTAGGGTTCGGGTATACAACTTCTAGCTGCTGCATAATCCACAAAAAAAGGGGAATACAGATTCAACCGCTGAGAAACACTTCCGCATACTCTGGCAGAGAGGCAAGGTTCGAGTGCCTAGGTTGCCCCCAGCGCACTCCCCTGCACACCCAAAAACTGCATAATGAAAAACACTCAATATACAATGCACATAACCAGCATCTAGATGTGTGTATGTATGTATGCATGCATGTATGTATATATGTCTGACTTAGGTACATTATTCAGTTTCAATACGCGCATGTACGTGCCTGTATGCAAGTTTGTATGTATGTGTGTATGTATGTATGTATGTATGTACGTATGTATGTATGTACGTATGTATGTATGTATGTATGTATGTATGTAAGTATACGGCTATGTATATATGTAGCACACCTACTTACATAATGTGTGTACATATATACATATATATATATATATGTGGACACACCGACCATCTGAAACACAAAGGTTTCCAAGTGATACAACCATGACACTCGCCAGGGTCGAGATCCACGTTGAAAAGGCAGCCATCGCCGCAATCCTCCACCATGGCGTCCACCGTGTAGGATGAGTCGTTCTTGTCGATTCTGACTTTGTGCCCAAGAACATCCTGTGCTGTCGTCGAAGCCAGTTTGTAAGGGTGAGGAGAGGAACACTTGCCCTGCCACGTAAGACTATGCTCTACTGAAATAGACTACAGCAAAGGCTCTTTAGGCCCTAAGCCCTACACTCTCTTACGTTATGATTTTGTGCTCTGTCTTGCGGATATATTCGATAAGATCGACAGAATCAGGAACCAAGCATCCACATAGGCAAACGCTGGGCGGTCGCTGCTGCAGTTGGGAAAGACGGGCCCTTGCCAGAAACTGTATTCCTGCTTTCCAGTCACCTCAAGTTTAGGGAGTTTAGGGCCTCTTGTGGCTCCGAATGATTTGACTCGGTTATTTGGAGCGGTTGATGTTGTAAGCATTACAGAGACCCGTGAATGGGTAGCCTTATTTAAGGCTCCCATGTTAAACGGCTTCGGTTTGGGGGCTCATGAAACTTGCTGTCATGCTACGTCATGCTGCTCTGCAGTGAATTAGGCAACATGGCAATGTCGAGTGCTCTGTGCTTCGCAATTTTTTTCACAACACTAGACCTGGAACGGCCCTCAAAACGAATCACCTGTGGACCAGGACTTAGTCTTAGTAGCTTTGAATTGTCGCGTCCCTCTCTGCGTCCTGAGAGGTAGCCATTTTGCAAGGGCTCAGCACAAACTGACTTAGCCCTGAAGCCTAGACCTCAAAACCGGAACGCCGACAATGAGCACTAAGGTTCATCACTGGGGGTCGGGGTGTTAGTAAAGAGTTGTAGGTGAGGCATTAGGGCGTATACATATATACGAACACACTCCACCCCCCCCCCCCCCCCCCCACCCCCATCCGGCATACTCGGGTTTGCAAGGCCCGGGCCAGTTTGTAGGGCCACTTGAGCAAAGACCTCGCACTCAGGTGCAAGGCATCCGGCCGACCGTTCTGGCCAGAAAAAATGTGCTCCATCTGGGGTCGGCCATCCTCGGCTGTTGATATGTAATGGCTCTCAGGCTTGTCTAGAACTCTTTAGAGCTTTACGAAGATTGGTGCAGATTTTCTCTA